CGACGCGCGCTTCCCGGCCCACCGCGCCGTGCTGGCCGCGTGCAGCGTCTACTTCCATCTCTTCTACAGGGACCGGCCAGCGGGCAGCCGCGACACGGTGCGGCTCAACGGCGACATCGTCACGGCGCCCGCCTTCGGCCGCCTGCTGGACTTCATGTACGAGGGCCGCCTGGACCTGCGCAGCCTGCCCGTCGAGGACGTCCTGGCCGCCGCCAGCTACCTGCACATGTACGACATCGTCACGGTCTGCAAGGGCAGGCTCAGGGGGAAGGACCGCGCGCTGCATCCCGAGACCCCCGCCCCCGGGCCAGAGCCGTCAGACAAGCCCCACTGCCCCCTGCCCGCCTGGACCCCTGAGCTCTGCCCAGCTGCCCGGAAGGCCAGGCTCCCCCAAGCCGGGGTCAAGGCCACTCTCCGTCCACGGGCACTGGGGCCTCCTCCCTGGCAGGCTCCGGGAGAATCGGACCGGGCTCTGGACCTGTCGCTGAAGCCTAGCCGGAGGCAGGAGCCAGTCCTCCCACCCTACGACCTCGCGGCAGCTCCCTGCAGCCACATCCAGCAGGGGACTCAGCCACTGGTGAAGGACGAGCGCGACTCGCTGTCGGAGCAGGAGGACGGCGTTGGCCCTCTGAGCCCGCACGGCCCCCGGCAGCCACCCCGTGTACCCGCAGCCAAGCGCCTGACGGGGGGCTTGGAGCCGCGGCCAGTCAGCGGGGCGGGCAGCCGGGAGCTGGAGCTGGATGCAGAGCGGGGGACGAGCGAGGACGAGCTGGGGCCCGGCGGGCACCTCTGCATGTGCCCTCTGTGCAGCAAGCTGTTCCCCAGTGCCCACGTGCTGCAGCTGCACCTCAGCGCCCACTTCCGGGAGCGGGACGGCGCCCGGCCCCGGCTGTCGCCCGACGTCGCGGCGCCCACCTGCCCGCTGTGCCGGAAGACCTTCTCGTGCGCGTACACGCTGAAGCGGCACGAGCGCACGCACTCGGGCGAGAAGCCGTTCACGTGCGCGCAGTGCGGCAAGAGCTTCCAGTACTCGCACAACCTGAGCCGCCACGCCGTGGTGCACACGCGCGAGAAGCCGCACGCCTGCCGCTGGTGCGGGCGGCGCTTCACGCAGTCCGGGGACCTCTACCGCCACGTCCGCAAGTTCCACTGCGGCGTGGTCAAGTCCCTGCTGCTGTGACGCGGCACTAGGATGGAGCGTGGGGGACCCGGCTGTCCGCGCGGAAGCCCCTGAGGCCAGGCCTCTCTCTCAGTGACTCCCCGGCCTCCTCCAGGCCTCGACCGCCTCTGACGCTCCCCAGCTCGCTCCGGCCTGGCTGTGCGGACTGTGACACTGTCTTCCTCTCCGGCCGGTTCATGGGTATCTCTAGGGCCCCCCAGGGTGGCCCAGGTACCTGGATGTGGGGCGGCCGGTGTGTCCTCCCTTCCAGGAGCTTCCTTGGCCACCTCACAGGCATGCTGGGGGGGACCCTTGCGACCCTGGCCCCATACTCCGTGAACGATGCACGCATCACGGAAGCTGTTGGTGTGAGTCCCTGATGAGGTGGTTTCCCTGGTGGTGGCAGCAGGATCCCCTGCAGGGGAGGCCCCAGGCACAGCACGGGCCCTCGCCTCACAGCCAGTGTCACAGAGGGTACCGGCCCCAGGTGGCAGAAGCAGAACCAGCCAGCAGCTGGGCGGTTGTGGAGTTACCGGCGCTGTGGTGTGAGGCGGTCGTCCGCTTGTGACTCGGGAAAGAGAAGGGGACCTTTGGGAATGACTCTCCTTGGGTGCAGACCCCTCCCAGGGTGCCAGGCGTCTGCCCGTGGGTAGCGAGCCATGCTGCTTCCCTGCCTGAGCGCAGGGTCCGGTGCACCTCTGAACACCCCGAGTGGCCCCGGAGGGCCAGGCCGCTGCTGTGCCTTGGTGGGGCTGACCCTGCAGGTCACCCGTCCATCCCTGGAACTGCTGGTCATTTCCAGAGCACTGAGCGGGCCCACCATCCGGGCTCCCCCACAGCGGGGCCGGGCGAAGGCAGCCATCGCGCAGGGCGGGCGTGGGAGGGCTGCTGGCCACTGGGCTGGGGTCGTCGCCCCCCCACGCTCCCGCCTTTATCCACGGACGCACCACAGCACAGGCGGCTGTGGCCACCCGGCCCTGCCCGCTACTCCCCAAGCTAGTCCTGCTGCAGGAACCTCGGCGGCGGTGGCGGGAGGGCCTGACCCAAGTTCTGGGGGTTCTGCAGGCGGCGGAGCTGCCTGGGCTCCTGGTTCCCCCAGACCACGCGGGCCATTTCTGCTGTGACCGCAAGTGGCACTGAGGACAAAGTCCGGCCGAGTTTAAGTTATTTTCCCTTCTCCTGACAACACTTGATGTCATATTTATTCACCTGCCCGGTCGGGACTGAAAGGGCTGTCCCAGCAGGTGGCAGACGGGTCTCCTTGCGGGCCCTCGGCTCTCCCGCACGTGGGCGGCCTCTCCTGACGCCCAGGGCTGGGAGGGCCTGGACCCACCTGGCCAGAGAGAGCCAGGCGAATGGGCCCCCACCTCTGGAAGGGCCAGCACGGTGCGTCTCACGGTCGGGTCTCCCTGCGTGTGTGCCCGCCTGCGTCCGGCGAATGGCAGGCCGAGCCGCGCTGGCCGTGGCACTGGATTTCCCCAGGGGTTTCCACGAGGGAAGAAATGTACTTTCCTGGGGCGGGAAGTGGGCCCTGCGTTAGCAACACTGGATCCATTGTCTTGTGCAAGCAGTTTCTGTGAAGTTGAGACGCGGTCTGCGTTTGGCTGCGGAACCGGCGTGGCTCAGATCAGCGTCATGCTAAGACGCTGATCACCCGGGAGCCGACCGCCGAGGGGCGCAAACGTGTCTGGCGGAGCCTGCTGCGTGGCTCCTCCTGCCCCTCCCCTGCTCTGCCCCTTGGGGGTGGCAGCTCCGGGTGACCCAGGGGACAGTAGTTCACGCTGACCGTTTGGCCAGAGGTTTTGTTTGCGCATACCGCCTGCCAAGACAGTCTGGAACCGAGTGCAGTTTCCCTGTGTTCGTGCCCTCGTCTTTGTGGTGACAGTGCTTAATAAAGCCCGCCCCCGTGGAGGTGGCCCGATGATTCCTAGGGACCTAGGGACGGGAGTGCCGGGGGGGGGAGGGGAGTGTGGGCACTGCTAGGGGCAGAGGGCATGTCCCAGTGGGCAGTGAGCTGGGGCAGGGCTGCTGACTGCTGGACCCCCTCTCCCCAGGTAGCCCCCCACCCTGCCCCAAGTTTGGGAGAACAGTGTCCCAGGGAGGCAGGTTTGCGCTGGGCAGGGTGCGGCCGGCACAAGGCGAAAGTCCTCGAGGCTCCTTGCCCTGGGGGAGGTGGGGAGGGGGCTTGCTGAGCAGCCACAGGCCCTGGGGCTCGGACCTGAAGCCTCCTGAGCCTGTGGTCCTGGTCCTGTGCCCCCTCTCCCAGAAGCCACCCCAATTGCCCTGCACCCTGTCTGCCTTCCCTCCACACCCTGTTTGTCCCCAGCTCCCTCAGGGTGGGGCTGGGCCCTCAGAGGCCTGGATTTGGGCAAGAGGTGGACAAGGCTTGGAGGGGGTGGTGTCTCCCGCCCCCCGACACCCCCTGGGCCTGCCTGATCTCTAGAAGGCCTAAGTAGGAGCAGGCGGGTGGTGGCTGGCACCCTGGGGCCGATGGGCAGACCACCTCATGTGCGTCCCAGCCTAGTCTTGGCCAAGGCGCCCTCCAGCCGGGGCGCCGCCAAGGCTTGCCCCGGGGTCCTCAGAGGCCATCGGGCCAGGCCGAGCAGGTGCTGGGAGGGCCGCTGCGTCTCACACTGACCGTCACGGCCTTCCCAGTGCTGCCTCAACTGCAGGTCCCTGCTTCTGGGGGGTGGCGCCTGGCACCTCCCTCCCTCGCCCAGCCTGCCTTCCCTCAGAGCCACTGTCCTCCAGGGAGGCCCCGTCACATTCCAAGTTGGGCCTGTGACTCAGCCCGGCCTCCTCAGAACTGGGAGGAGGCTGTTGCCATGCCAACTGGGCAGGGGAGGAGGGTGGTAGAGAGGCCCTTGAGGGGAGGGGGCTTCCAGGGGCGATCCCACCTGCCCAGCTCTGCCAAGCTGTGCGCTCACACGCAGCTCACTGCAGAGCCCCGTTCCCGGCAGGGCGACCTAGCACCCTGGAGGCCCCTGAGCCTGACCCCTGGGCTGCAAGGTAAACTGAGGCACTTGGACGGGCCTGGCCCTGGCCCTGGCCCGCAGACCCAGGACTTCCTCCGACTTCAGGAACTCTGGCCACTGCCTGGCAGAGCTGGCATGGGCCCCGGCACTGTCACGCGCGGCCTCCTGGGACAGCCGCAGCAGGACAGCGAAGCAGCCACAGGGAGTGCTGGCCGGACCAGGCCTGTCACAGGCTCCCAGCAGGGTGGGCTCACAGGAGCCTCCAAGTGGACAACACAGAGATGGCAGTCCGGGCAGAGGGCTGGCCACTGCAAAGGTGACAGGGCGAGAGGTCAGCGGGGCGTGAGGCCAGGGGGCCTGGGGAAGCCAGGCTGTGAGACGGGGTGGGCAGAGCAGTCTGGCAGCCTCAGGCCCCACACTCCCTTTGCCCCTCGCCCTAGGCTCTGCCAGCTGCTCCCCCACATCTGGTCTCGCCCCTCCCCAAACTCATAGTGGCACCACGGCTTCCTTGGTGAGGGAGGTCCCCCCTGTGGACGCTCAGGGAGCTGAGGACAGCGCGTGGGCGCAGAGACGGCTCCCGTCCTGCCTGCACGGCCGCGAGGGGGCCTGGGCGGTACTCCGCCGCAGTCCCGGCCCTGCTCCCCCTAAACCCAGACTGCGCCCCCACTGCCACCCCACCTCTACCTCTGGCGGGTCCCCACGGAGACCGACCCTCGACCCGGCTCCATGCTGAGGGCTCCCTGCTTGGTGGGCTGGGGGCCAAGTGGAGCGGGGCGGAGGGCCCCACCCCCCGCAGCCCCTGAAGTCCGGGTGTCTGCTCACCCCCCACGTGCAGGAGACACATCTGTACAGGGCAGGTAGGGCGCTGCCGTGTCCCCGCACACTGTGGGGGCCACTTGGTCCCTGTTCCCGGGTCGCTTCCTCTCCTCAGCCCCGTGCTCTCACCTGTGACGTGGGAACACGGCAGGTGCGGCTCCAGGGGAAGGGGTAATGCCCAGGGTCACACGGGCAGTGCCTGCTGGCAGTGACCAGGTAATTGGACCCACCCCCAGGCCAGAGGGCCCTGGCACCAGTGCTCCCTGCTGCAGGCTGGGCGCTTCCTGGGGCGCCAGCTGGGCTCTCGTGGGTGCTGGCAGCTCGGCAACGTCGCTGCTGGGCCCTGGGCCCCCTCAGGAAGCCAACTCTCCGCCCGCCCGCCCGCCGCTCCTGCAGCTGTCCCTGGCCAGCCCCCTGCAGGGTCCCAAAGGGCGGCGGAGCGTGTGGGGTGCACCGCGGTGGGAGTGGAGTGTGGGATCAGCTAGCAGGAGGGCGGGGCCAGGAGCGGCGGAAGATGCTGCTGCCCGGGGGCTGGGGCAGCTCTGAGAGGAGGCAGCGGGGCGGAGGTCAGCGTGCCCACCCGCAGGGACCCCAGAGGCCTGGGTCAGGGCCCAAGGGAACGGGGTCCCACCTCCCCAAGTGGGACCTGAACAGTTTCGTTTCGCCAGCGTGGAGAGAAGTCCGTGTAGAGATGCCGGTACCGGGATTTCAGCAGAGGCCTGGGGCCTGTAATTCAGCTTCTGAACCCCATTCCCGTGGCGGCTCCCCACACCGAGCAGGTGTCTGCCACCAGCTGGGTGTCCTGCAGGTCAGCTCCATCCTGACACTATTGCCCAGACAGCGGCAGGCCCCTCGGGTCAAGGGCTCTGTCCTGCGGGACCCTCTCCCCTTCCACAGCCGCCAGGCACACGTCCGGGCTGTCACCTGGGCTACAGAGGTGGGAGGTTCCCACGGGCCCCTTGGGTTTGACGCATGTGCCAGAGCAGCTCACGGACTCGGGGAGCTTCACTCACCAGGTCACAGCGTCTGGTGGAGGAGGCGGCTGGGGGTGGCCTGGAAAGGCGCTGACATCCGGTCAGGGGAAGGGGCGCAGAGGCCCCCCGCCCCGTCCGTGTCCATCAGCCGGAGCTCCCAGAGCCCCGTCCAGGGCTTCGTGGGGGCTGCGCTCCACAGGTGCCACTGAAAAAGCCACTAGCCACTGGCCCCTGGCGACAGGTCAGCCTCCTGCCCTCCGCCTTCCCCAAGGCTGGGGGACAGGCTGAAAGTCCCAACGCTGTAGTCACAGGGGTGGCTGCCTGGGTGACCGGCCCCCAGGCTCAGTGACCTAGGATCTTCCCAGGCCACCTCATTCCCATCGCAGAAGACACCTCGGTCGCCCTCACCACCAATTCCCAGGGGCTGGGCAGGCACAGAACGAAGGCCAAGTGCGTGTCCCCACTATAAGGCACCATATTTGTTTATTGGATGTCTTCGTTGGCTCCGCGCCCCAACACAGCCGTGCCTGGGCGCTGACTCCGCAGAGATGGACCCAGGCCACCTGGAGGGTGGAGGCCCAGGGGACGGCAGGGCGGTCCCTCCTCAGGACGCTGTCCTGGGCGTGTGGACGGCGCCATCTCCGCATCCTCACATAGTTGTCCCTCTGTGTGTGTGTGTGTCCTGATCTCGTGAGGACCCCAGTCACACTGGGTTAGGGCCACCCTAATGACCTCATTTCAACTTGATCACCTCCGGGAAGACCCTACTTCCAAAAGGAGTCACATTCTGAGGTGCTGGGGGATACATGCCCTACAATTTGGGGGGACACTGGTTCTTCAGAGGGGCACGGAGGCCAGAGGGCCCTGGGCCGGCCTGGCTCTGCCCACACCCGGGCCTCCTGCGTTCTCTCCGTGAAGTTTGCTGACATGTCTGTTTCAGCGTCCACGTGCTGGGCAGCCCACGGGCAGTCGGGCAGAGCTGACGCCACCAGGCCGCCAGGCATTCAGAGCCACAGCTCAGGGGACTGCCCCCAGGAGCCCCCAGGCCCGACCCCGTTCTGCCCGCGCCCTCCACAGTGGTGCGCCACCACCCGGCTTGCCCACTCCAAGCTGGGGCGACTTCTT